TATTATATGTTTATTTCAACTTCAGACATTTTTGCTACATGAATACAGAATATTGCGGGCATGAATAGTCTAAGCAAATATCTGCATGACTGAGTTTACAAAGATTATTATTATTATTATTATTATTATTATTATTATAACAATAATAACAATGATAATAGGCCTACTTCTATATTCCGTTTATTGCATGACATAAAATCAAATTAAATATCCTATTGCAATATATAAGGCCTAAAAAGAGCAAAAGGATTACAAAGAAAAGAAAAAATATAGAACTAATAATTATTAAACATAATAATGTATAATGCTAAGTATAATGATTCTAAAAGAGATCGAAAATTTCAAGTTATTAATAATAATTATTAATTAGTAGTAATTCTACTAATACTATAAAATATATTTAATATGCGACTTCTAATTAAAAACTAAATTGTTATATTTAAAAGCTAGGCTAAAAGTTCACAAAAGAACTATAATGCTGAAAACGCTACGTGTTTATTTTAGATTTCATGATTGACTTCTTTCTGAGCTGGCATCGGGTATTTTTTACCCTAGCCATCATATTATGTATAAACTGATGACTCTCTGTACCCCCTGTCAACTTAAACATTGGGTTCACGTATTACTCCAAAAGGATTCAATCTGTTGTGCCGCGGCTTTGTGTGTTTTGCCGTAAAAAATTGCGTAGTGCCGCAAAGATTGGTTATTTTGTCTTGAAATATTGTATAGTGCCGTGACAATTGGTTATTTTGCCGTGAAATATTGTATAGTGCCGTGACAATTGGTCATTTTGCCGTGAATAATTTTTTGTAGTGCCGTGTGAAATTTGATTTGCAATGACAGTTATGGGCCATCGTATCTTGTAACTATATATCAAAACTGCTTAGCCCATATGAAATATTAGGGATTACAAGACATTGAATTGATATTTGACCATTCTAAAAACTGCGTTACTCACTAGCTAGAACAACCTAATCCCCACCAAAAAAGATTTAGCTTATTTTCTTTGTATTGTCAAATTGCTTATTAAAATGCAAGATAATTCAACTCACAATCATTTTTATAATCGTTCAAGAAGTTTTATAAACCAATAAAAGTTCGTTAGTTTCATTCACAATCATTCTTTCATTATCGTCTTTAGTAGAAATATCTTGTAACTTCCTCAAAACCTCCTGGAGCTCATTTTGGTCGGCTGTTTGACGATAATTCACTTCATGTGTACAAAAGTCAAGCAGATGACCTCCTTCCTCAGAACTTTCATCGACAACGCTTGTCACGTCAACCGAGAAAGGAACGACCACCTTTTCGTACTTCATCGAATTCTTTTCAGCAAAGTGAATAAAATTTGCGGCTGCATTATCCCTGCAGGGATTTCTTTGATATTCAGCGCGATATTTCTTTAAGATTTTACTTGTTACAGCTGGTAAATCGGAGTCATTTCCAAGCAGGCATACGATCAATCCTTTCTCTCCCAGTTCGTTGTAATAGCAATGCTTCAATGTAGACTCCATGCTCTCAACATAATAAAGACTGTGTATGGCATGGACTATGTCGTACTGGTTTTGATCGTGTTTACTCCCTGTGTATTCCTCGAATGACATCAGTTTCAGATCGAACTTAACTGGTCTTTGATGAGGAGGTCCTTTTGACCGGTCAGATCGCCTTTCAATGGATTCTTTGTACTGACCAAAGAATTTACTGTTGGGTTCAACTGCTGTGTTCAGGATCTCAACTTCTTGCAACTGTTTGTCGCCTGCATTCAGATATCCTTCTTGCACAATCTTTAGTATTTCTTGGTCAATAAAGCCATCACCAGCCCCAATACTGAGTATGTTTAATACTGGTTTGTTTTTACCAAGTTGTAGCTTTTGTAATGCAGTTGGGATGTGTTGCCGTAGAAAAGCGAGGTTTTCATTATGCTCCTCCGAGACATTGTGATAAGCTTTGAAACTAAGCGTATAGCTATCTTTCAAAGGGAAGTCTGTTGCTTCTGCCATGATCATCTATAAATGATTTTTTTTTTTTGTGTGGTGAATTCGGTCAACTTGTACTGAAAATGGCTTATGATAAGTTATATACATAAAATATTTTGTAGACTTAGCCTTGAGTAAGCAAATCGGTTTTTGAGCTGGCCAATCAGCGAACCCCCCCACGTCATACAGTCTCAGGCTAATTAGCTTTGCTCTAGACTCTTCCACATGGATAATTTACAGTCTGATCTTTTCCACCTTGAAGTATGGCAAAATATGTGGCAGATGGAGTTTAACCCAGATAAATGCTTCATTATGAGCATATCCTTACAAAAATCTCCACCTCACAAAGAATATGTTTTCTGTGGATCAGTTCTGAAGTATGTTGATGTGCATCCTTACTTGGGAGTCACATTAGACAACAAGTTACGATGGAACTACCACATTCAAATTACATCCAAAGCTACACTAGTGCTGAACTTAATTAAGAGAAATTTTTGGTTTTGTAATCGAGATGTCTGGTTCGACCAAAGTTGGAGTATGGATGTACCGTATGGGATCCTCATTATAAATGTGACATCGACAAATTGGAACGCGTACAAAGACGTGCAGCAAGATTCTGTGTTGGAGACTATAGATACACTTCAAGTGTCACCTCAATGATGCACCATCTACGATGGGAACCTTTGTGTGACCGGCGTAAGGAGGCAAGATTAACAACTATGTTCAAGATAACACATGACATTATTGAAACTGATAAATCTAGACTAACACTTGCAAAAGAAACTAGAATTGACCGAGTTTTTGTAATTGACCGAGTTTTTGTAATTGACAGAGTTTTGGTGATTGAGAGAGCTATTGTAAATCGACCGAATTTTCGAATTTTCGCTTGTGTAATACAATGAACTGATAAGTGTACACATTCAAGCGAAGTAACGCAATTGACAACAAATATTCAATTACATTGAAATGACAATTTTGAGCCATTCCGCACGCCATAGGTTCGCATAAATTCAAGTACCAAAGTATTAAGACAAATAAGGACGTACATAAATTTTCTTACTTTCCAAGAACTATTGTTGAATGAAACAGTTTACCTGCTGATATTGTGGAGGCTAATTCACTCCAGACTTTTAAGAGCGACTGTCCAGAAATATCGAGCAAAATCGAAAATTTGTGGCCACAATCAAAAAAATAAAAGTCCTTCATTTTTGGTCTGTAGACACTATTAGATGAGTTTATGAACGTACTGGGGTCGGTTTTTCGATCTACGTAAAAAATCCGGATTTTTTTGAAGAAAACGATTTCACCCCGTGTCGGTCTAAAAATTGCTCAAGAAACGG